CCTCCATGAACACCCTGAAAACGTCGGAGTGAATAAATTGGCCCGCATCTAACCCATTTTTACGAAATACATTGTTATATTTTATCTATAGGAATGAAATTTGAATTTTGAACCAGGTTTGCAATCAATAATAACAAATAATCTTGAAAAAATTGTCAGTTGGAAATAATTTTCGGTTGTTCTATATAGGATCATATGAGCGATTTTTCTTACCCTGCCAGCCTTAATTGCGGGGCTGTTATCTCCAAGGACCAAATGGCAGGCTGCCTCTGTGAACGCCTCCATTCCCAGAACCGGCAAGTACTCATGATTGAGCGACTCATCGGCCGCGATCAAGCTTTTCAGCCTCGCGGACCACCGGCAGTACCCAAGGTTTGCCTTCCTCAGTACGATACGCTGAAAAGGACATGGTCAACATTCGATGAACTCTTATTACCACTAGAATTAAAAAAAGAGCTCCTTATGATTTAATAGTTGATATTATTGAATACATTATTGAAGCCGAAAATGAAGTTTATTTCCAAGGTAAAACGAGTAGCTCAGTGACTGACCTCCGACAGTGAGATTGACTTTATTGGGATCTTTCTCGTCATTATACATTTTGTTCATATGAAACACCTCAATAGGTGGAGCAACCGCAATTCCATCGAAGAACGACATCTTTTTTGGTGTTGGCTGAAATACACCGAGATTTAAATTGAGAAATATTCATTAAAGAAAAATCGTGGTTAACAGCAACGATCGCAGTGGAACTGTGTACGTGAACCACGGAAAATACTGCAGTATCCAGGAAACAGCAACAATCATAAGAAATAAGACCCAGTGAGCGATTGGTGGACGTGCACATGCGGCTCAAACCACGTCACGGCACATGGTGTGAACTTCTTATCAAAGGAAAGATTGAGAATACTGGATCAAGGCGCTATAAAATGGAGCAAGAAACAACGATACTTCTCCCAAGACAGTTTTTGTGATGTGACTTAAAGACACAACCCAAGATGATACCAGTTAGATGAATTTTCATTGGTGGGTACGATAGAACTGTTCAAGAAGAACACGGAGTGATGTTTTCCCTACTCTAAAGGGAGCTACAAGATCATCCGAACCCTGCACAGATAGCTTCCTTTTCTCTCGCCCGTAACAAGCTGCTGTCTGCGATCTCCCTCTCATACATCACGCGCTCTCTCTTATCCTCTCTTCACTGCGCTCAGTCTCTCTTTCCTTCAGCACAAAAAATGGCGAGCCCTTACTTCAGCGTTTTCGATGAATTCTCTTCTTCACGAACCCACTTCCCATCGAGGCCGATGTCATACTTTGCGAACCGGGATTCGCAAAGCTTGATACCGCTTTGGAGCTTTTATTTTCGTGTGCAAGGACCATAATAATTTTTCCTAGAAGTCTTCAAATGTCCTGCATCTATTTAGAGGCAAGACGAAGAAAATAATGTGCCCTGGATTTGAAAAAGTCGACATTGTTGTTCGATATCTTAGCCTTATTTTCCTTACTGCATACCACCTTCACCGCGCCGCTGCTCTCTCATTCTTTTGAAGCCCAAAAGCGAATTTGGTGGTTTTACAGGCAAGAGCCCAAAACTTAAGTATGTAATGTAATGGACACGTTCGAAGAATCGAGTTGGTACTTTAGTATTTCCTTTAACAAGTGTGTTGCAGAAAAAGTAATATGGATTAACACCAGCCAGCGTAAAATCAATATACATCTTAAAGCACATAAGTAAGCAGTGAATGCGCTGCTATAAGGCAGGTTCAAGAAAAATAAGATTAAAGCGGAGATAGATCTAGACCGATAAAAGAGTGTATTATCACATAATCAAGTTACTTTTCAAGCTCCGGAAATAACTCTATTCAATGCTGAATTTGAGGTGAAATATAAAACAGTCACTGCGTCCACACCGGGCGAGCCTCAGCTGATAAGACGGAAACGGGGCCAGGATTAAATGAATGTACCAAGAAAAACAATGAATGGCAAAAAACAATGAAATGCCATTGTCATATGCGCTCAATCGATTTAGACCTAACGATTTTGGTTAAAAAGTCGCCCAAATGCCGTAGCAGTAACAGGTCATCGGATTCACTAATTGAATCAGGGGGAAGTTAAAGCGAAACAGCACCCAGCGACCGGCGCCTGTATGGATTGTCCTCATTTTGAGGTCAACGGACGGGCTGGCGAACATAATGGGCACACTCAAAAACCGGATGGTCTCCCAGACTGTCACTCAATCCTTCGAGAAGGGAACACCGTGGGCTGCCAGTAACCACCAAAAACCCGCCCGAATAACCGAAGAATACTACTGCACGGAGCATTTAAAGGGACACGAGGGTGATTATTTGCAATCTTCCAAGTCTGATTTTACGGGCCATAAAAGAATATTTCCTATGTGGGTTCAGAGCGATTCCACTCCGATCAAACTCATAGCAAACATTCCAGTTTTCACACCTTTCAAATTTCAACGGCAACAAAAATGGGACGAGCTTCGATGATTTTGGGTGGGAAAGTTTTCAGAGGGTTCTTTTTTTACTAGAGAAGTAGGTACAATAGGTAAAGGGAATAGGTAGGTCCAACAGAAAGAATGTGGTTGACCAGCAACTAAAAAGCTGTCCCAAGTGATAAGGCCACTATCAAAACAATATTGTTTACCTCCACTAATCCCCGTCCCTATGTAAATACCAACAGAATAGATTGGTATTTCGATCGTATGCCCTAAACACTGAACCAATTCAAAAGATACGAATTGAGCAAGTTGTACCCTTACTTCGAGGAAACTAAGGCTGAAGGTTTGAGGGTTAGAGAAAGACAAAAGGGGTCTGAGGCTCACTTTCAAGACTTTCAGGATGGAATCTTGTCTGGAACACCATACTTCTCATCCCTTCCACATCAGGAAGTACCAGAACCAGAATCTCCTGGTGGGGTTAATTACGTTGACGCGGTCCCACTTGCGCCTCGCAATACTGTTTCAGGGACCAGAACTCCATCAAAAAACTGCCCTCATGTACTAAATTCGGGAACGAGTCGCAACCATCCCAAGGCATTGCACTGTGCACAACGTTGTAATAAACCATCAAATTTCTATACATTTAGGAATCAGAACTTATTCTTGGCGGCTTTTCATGTACAGCACCGCTATTTGCTTGGCTTATTTCTGCCTTCCCTGATCGATAATTTAATTTATAATCAGAAGATAATATTAATTTATAATCAGAAGAATTCACTCATGAGGAAGGAGAAAAGGTGATAAAGGACAAGAAAAATAGCCAGAATGTCACGAAAACTCGTAAAAATTCGCTTTTGAACCCTTGCAAAAACCAAAATACCATTCCAGCGACAAAGTTGTAATAGCTGATCACGCCACGTTTCATACAAAACTGCAAGAAATCATTCGCGTTGGTTATGCAGGGGGGGGGCACTGCTATGCTGATGGCTCAACGCATTAAAACAAGCCTCCGGGGAACCAAGGGGAGGATGTGTTCAAAACCAAAATTTTTCATTTTCCCATATTCAATGTCTCCTTCTCTTAGGCTCAGTTCATGTGCATCAGCGATTCCCCCCCCCCGAGTCAAGGTCAGCGCCAAATTATTCAGCAATAACATTATGTAATTCTAGGCGGGAAGGTGTAGTGACGATAAGTGGCCCATACCACGCATGCGCGGTCCGGGATACAAAATCACTGGGTCCGTCGAGTTCTCCCGGGCCAACCAAGCCTTCCATCTTCCTGGGTCGTAAGTTTGGTCCCAACTCGTCTGGAGATTGAAGCAACATTACCTCTAGCGTTTCCAAACGCTCAAAAACCCAACCATAAAGATTTCATGGCGTCAGCTCCTCGCAACTCTGCAAACATCGCATTGGCTATTGCCGGTCAACAAACTTCTTCCAGAGAACAACACTGGCGAAAAAAAATGATTTAGCAGCAAGATCTTGCACCAGACCTAAAATCCTCATTCCAATCATTCTGAGGAAAAATGGAGTGTAGTGGGACAATGCAAAAGGAGGTAAATCGACGCTATTAATTTTCACAATGTTACAAATTGCACCTGCGCCAGGATCCCTCCTGTCCTTCCAACCACCACGAATGGAAACGACAGAGTGGGCACAAATCAAATCTGAAAGGCCTGAAGGGGAGGCGGTCATATGGCGCGATCCCATTGGCATTAGAGCGCACAGGCCGCAATTGCCCATCCTGCTGCGGCCGGACAACTCGTCCGTATCACTCAACTACTAGACTTCAGTAATTGATCGATCTGATAATTTGGGTCTCAAAAATCTCGCTGAGTCCCAAAGATCTAAAAAAAAGAGCGGATAGCTTCGCTGGCCTGATGCCAAGGCAAGAGGAACGGAGCAGAATGTGTTGCGCGGACGAGTTGTCCTGCTGCGCTCCAATACCAATGGGATCGCGCCATATGACGTACACCCCCTAGAAGTCCATTCTCCACGGGGTAAGTCGCAGTATTACTTTTTATCAGTCCAAAATACGGACACAATAGACAGCGATAACCGCCGCAAAACAACTGCCCTATAAACACTATCAAAATATTTACCACAAGAGCTATCTTTGTCAAATACGATTGATACGAAGGAAGCACTTTTTGAACGCACAATTACGGAGAGGCACAAATTACGGTAACGACAGCAATTTGTAAAGAGTTTCAAATTCCTAGCGACATGGTTTTCGAATACTGGTCTCATTTATATGTTTTCCTCAATTTGAGGTCCTTGAAGGCACCCAATCAAATAAGTGAGGGTTCTTGCGTCCAAAAGTGCGATTAGTTGAAGTAGTTGATCCTTCCACCCCCCCCCGAATCTTCATCCCACCCTAAGGCTGAGTTCTAAGGATTTCAAGTGGCTCACACCTTTAAATTCACCCCCCTGCTCTCCCAACGACATGATCGCCAAGAAAAATATGCCTTATTTATCAAAAACTTGCCTGTTTTAAGCCGAAGAGGATGCGATAGATATACGCGAGATTTGGTAAGACAGTGAGCGACATTGCTGATCTGGCAGTTCAGCCGCTGAATGAGTTGAAGACTTGAAAATGAGACACACTTGAAGCAATTGCGAAACCTAGGCGAACCTAGGCTGGTCATAAATGATATGATAACGATCCTCACTTAACCGCTAAAACTTATCACCATTGAGGGTGCTAATTTAGCTGGAGGGAGCAGCGCCAACGCTATGCGCAGCATACTCACGCCTTCAGTGCAAAGCGTGGAATTCGTGAATGGGCAAGGTCACACTATCTCGGTGAGAGGCCACAGACATGCCACGCGATGCAGCGGCAATACCCCTCCCCCCCAACTAAGTTAGCGCCCAATTAAGGCGAAATTTACGATGGAAAGGCAGCTCATTAGAAATCGAAGGTTGAGATGGTCAGCGGTGCAGGGGTGAAGAAAAACCGTGAGGAATGGCCAAGCAGGCTTACTACCCAAAAGAATGGTACCCTTCTCGGCTCACTGATTCACTCATGATGCGACTCTCACTGTTGCTACTCTCTTCAACGCTAACGCTCACTCTACTTAAACGGCTTGAGGCAGGCGGTGGGAGGGTGGGCGTGCCGCGGCACGGGTGCGCTTCGCTGCAAAAC